CTCCACTCGCTCGCGGATGAGCTGTCGCCTGAGTCCGGCAACGAGTACCTTGGTCTGTCGCACTCCATCAACGACATTCCTGGCCCAGGACTTGGTATGACCATGGCGCCACCACAACACAGCCTCATGGCCGGTAGCCACTACTGAGCATACCCTGTCACGACGTCACACATGTGAAATGAGCATTTCGGCGCAATCAATGGCGCAGCCATCTAGAAGGATACCAGTCTGCTGTTTTTCTTGTTCATCTTCTTGTCTTCGCGTTTAATCTCTTAGACCGGTGTCTGTTTCCCTCTGTTCGGCATACATTCACGATGTCCGCACTGCATTTGTTCTTGCTTTTTCTTTTCCAGCCTTCGGAGCTAGGGGATGGTGATACCACCGGATTTTGGCTTTTTGAGGGGTTGGCTGACGACACAACACTACGAACATGAGTACCCTTCTTTTTTCTCGTCTCATCGTTTCATGTTTTTCCCTTTTCTTCTTTCTTTTCCCTTGCGCTCCGATCTGTTTGCTCGTTGTCGTCGTTGAGCCCTCTGTTGGATATATCCTTGGCGGCATGGCTTGCTTTGTTGCAAAAGTTGTTTGATGGCGGACTGGGACACCATTTGAAGCGCACGCATACGCATATCGTCGATACATCTCTCGGATATGCAGGTAGCTTGGTGGTTTGCGTCTTCCTCTTCGTGAGGCGGCGTGTGTATAATATTGAAACTCAATGCAAAACGCATAACTGCACTTCTATGTCTTCACAAGCTACTACCACCGTGACCTTTCGTATATCCGCTGTGATGACCAACACTCATACTTCACATGCAGCTTGCACACGCGTCACAGTATACTCTCAGAAACCAGCACTCAGGATGAAACACCACCCCAACCCATCACGCATGCAAATCCCAAGAGACATACGATCAACACATCAAAGAACATCATATCACAGCACATAACCATCATACCAACACCCCCCTCACGCATATCACGCACCCCAGCAACCCGTCATACCAACACCTCATCCCAAATCCTTCCGTCTCACGTGCCCCGTCCCCCTGCTCAAACAACCATCTCACCTCGCCCCGCCGCAATCCTTACGTCACACATGGCCAGCGCGCTTGTTTCAGAAGCGACTACGCCGTACAATTACACATCACCTCTCTTGCGAGCACGGTCTAGATTTGGGAAGGGACTGGGGGTGCCCGCGGAAGTCGGTGCTGCGGGTCCCGACTGTGCCTCACTTGACTTGACTTGACTTGGGTGTGGCACGGTTGCGTGCGGGTTTGCGGGATGGAGACCGCGTCGGAGTCGGAGGCGGAGGAGGATGTCGGAGGGAGGAAGGCGGTGGGAGGTGGAGGTGGAGTAAGGGTGGAAGCCACATTGATCTACGCGGTGTGTGTACTTGCTGGTTCGAGGGAACGGTGTCTGTGCGTTTGGTGAGTGGTGTGTGGGATGGATGGGTGGGGATGGGAATGTAGGTGGTAGACTTTTGAACGATAGACACGTGGTGTGTGGGGCTGTACGTATAGTCTTTTTGTAAATGCAGTGCGAGGCGAGCGTTGTAGATCATGGGGCTGTGGATGGTGGGTAGACTTGGGGGTGATGGTGGTATGAGCGGCTGGCTTGCTGATGCCGTCTTGAAGGCTTCGGGGGCTGCGGTAGCGAGATCAATTGCCATTCAGCCACTTCGGAATCCTTTTGGCCATGTCCTTTGATTACTATCACTAATGCATACTTGCTACTTGGGCGTGGTCATCTGGGTATTTGAAATGGGGGGAATGTGAAGTTCAGTTGGCACGGAGTGTTCAGTGGCCGTTGCCTTTGTGGGTTGGAGGGGTGGGAAATGGTACTCTTCGCCAATCGGCGATCTGAAGTTGTTCTATCTCACGGTTGGGCAGGTACCTTTGCGCCAAAAAGCCGTCATGGGAGCACCCGTTCGGAGGGCTGCCGATTGGTACCTCTCGCTTATGGCTTGAACTATGTGCCAGCATGTCGTACGATTATGTGGTATGTGGTGGGAAGAAAAAACTCAGGGTGCATGTGTAGCTTCGCGCTAGAAAGCTCGAAGAAGTATCCCTGAGCCTGCTCGAGTGGGTGCTTTTTACGGGTGCGTCTCGCCATGTGTAGGCAGGCTCTGCGGTACGCTTACGGGAGCGGCGTGTCCATGCGCCATGTTTTCTCTTTCCGGGACTTTGTGTCGCCGGCTGTAGGGGTGCAATGTGTGTGCGTTCAGGAGAATTACGCGCGGTCTGTGAGTGGTTGTGTGGGAGATGATGTTGTGGCTGTAGCTTGCCGTCGCCGAAAGCAGGGTAATTTGCTTGTAGTCTTTCTTTTTAACGTAGCGATGCTACCTCGAGTCAGAGGATACACATGCCGCTGTTTCCTGAGTAGCTCCTCTGCCTACTTTCGGGGCGTCAAGTAGCCGACGCATCGTCCACGTTCAAGGGTGGCGGAAAGTTAGTGGGTTGCCACAAGAGGACGCCCCTAGCTCGCGGTGCTTTGGGGACCGGAAACATCAAGTCAACGGTGTAATGTTGAAGTTGGTTTGAAGTGGAGACAGTGTCGTGATAGTGGTCGTTCCGTGGTTGCGCGCTGTGGAAGATGCGCTAACACAGAAGTCGTTAGCACGTGGTGCGCGTGGCGCCCGGGCGTGTTCCACCGCCTTTTCCCTTCCATCGCGCATGTACACTCCGCGAACCTCAACAGTGAACGCCACTTACCGTCATTCCAGTACGAGCTTTTCGGTATCCTGGGATATACATACCTCCAGTGTGTTGATTTGTGATGGAGACCCCCGGTTCAACCTCCGCCACGCAGACGAAGCGGAATAGGCCAGCTCTACTGTACGTGCCTATTTCGGGCAAGCGAATCTTTCGTTATAACCTGCAAAAACGACGTGGTTTCGACCATGTCAGCTATTGTGAATGATTATAGACTAAGTTTGATGACAAGATCCCGGGACCAGACCTTCGTTACGATCAACATTGATGGTGATGGTGATGATGAGGGTCCGCAGACATACATGCTGCATAGGGACTCACTATGCTCTCAATCGCCTTACTTTGCCGCGGCATTCAAGTCTGAATTCCGCGAGTCTAAAGACAAATCGATTTCCATTGGGGGTGTCACAGCCTCGACAATGAGGCTATTCCAATTTTGGATATATGGACGGTCCACTGTCTGGTCAGTAGACTGCGTTGATAATCAAAGCAGTCCAGAGAGTGACTCGGCGAAAGATGGAAAAGGTACATCAGCTTAGAATGCGAAGTCTCCTGATCTGATCAGCTAGAACTGACGACTGAATAGCCGATGAGGAATCTACCGCTCCTGTACTGGCGCCGCCAAAACCTTGGTCAAAAGCCGCCGACTGGGTAGCAACAGAAGGTGAGATTTGCCATCGACCAGATCTGACAGAAGCTAACTCGACAAGAATTCTTATTGCAAAAGCGCCACTACTATCTGAAAACGCTCGTTAGCCTGTACCTTTTTGCCGACTTCTATGATACACCACAGCTGCGGAACGATGTGATGACATTGCTAGTCGAGCTTGCAACCTACAACAACCACAATAATGGTTGCACAGACGGGTGGACAAGTACATGCATCCGGAGACTCTACCGTAACCTACCCTCTACTTCCCCCCTTTGTCGATATGCTGTCATGAAACGCGCAGTACATTCCGTAGGGGCATCTAAAGACGGTTGGGGAAGCTATCCCAAGTCGTTCTTAACCGATCTGTTGTCGGTCGCTATGCCTATGAAAGGTGTTTCGACCAAACGAAAGCTTCAGGAAGAGTTATGTGACTCTTGCAACTTCCACGAGCATAAGGGTGATAAGAAAGCGATTGCGGTCTGCAAAATGAGACAACAGAAAGAAGGACTCTGGTTCTCTAGCTTTCTGCGAGCATGCATGAGCGAGGTTTACGATATGGAGGATGCGATGCTGGAGTCAAAGCCACATGCGCAGACGGAGGAAAGCCCCAAGTATGAGGCTGGCATGTTGGAAAAGAAAGATCATACGGCGATGCCCTCCTCCGCCGGTGTTAGACTGCCATCAGATTCGACCTTTTCATTCACAATTCCCCGAGGAGTGGATGGTAGGTCAGAAATGGGGCCACCCTCAAGCAATTGGGAAGATTTGGAAGCATACGATGACTATGAGGTCTTGCTCCACGGTGGTTGAGCTGAGACTGTCTTTATTTCACGCGTCAACCCGTCTCCAAAGGCCTGCTCCTGCCTGGGTATATGAGTCGAGATCTTAACAAATCCATGTACGGGTGTTAACATTAGTCTGAACGACTACCGAGCTGCAACGTATTGGCCTTCTGTTCATGATTGATACTAGAACAGATGTTGTATGCGAAGATAGGGCCGAAGACGCGTCAAAGTCGCGCTAGTCTCAAATAGTCACACGCGTCAAGCTTCAACAGTTCCCGAGGTGCCTCCGGGGCCCGCAATCTCTGTTCAGCTCGTAACATCAGCACCTGTACCCAAACTATCCCTTCAGTCACAGGTCGATTCCCATATCTCTCCCCAAAACCCGCGAGCGAGACTGGATCAATTCACTGGCCCTTTTCAAAGTCACCATAATAACCATGGAAAATGCTGCTAAGAGACCAGCCGAAGCCCAACTGACCAGCCACAGATCCAAACGTCCGACATTCTCGTGAGTCTCATCGAATCCAGCAAGCTCTAACCCGAATCACAACTATTGACCTCTCGATTGGTCAACTAAACTGATCCGTACCGATAGCACGATAAGCCAAGCGCACGTCACTGTTCGCCTTGATCTTGATGACATTGTCGTCACAGTTCACAAAGATATCGCATGTTTCTACTCTGGGTATTTTCGCAAAGCATTTGGGGGTCTCCTCCTCGAAACAGAGGTGTGGTCAATAAGTTTGCCTGATACCAGGGCAGACATATTCCGCCTCTACCAGGATTGGCTATACGCGCAAGCCACACGGCATGAGAACTCTACCCCGATCGACACTACGGAGACGGAGAATGCGAGGTATAGGAAGCCTAACAGCAACCCTGACTGGCTGGTTCCAAGAAGTACATTACTGCGCTACTTGCTGCTGCCCTTTACATGCTAATAGCATCACAGATTACCGCCAGGAAACAGCAATTTCAGCTTTCTACGGCGACGTGTTCCTCCGCTTGTATGTTTTTGCAGAAGTTTACGACGTGCCGCTGTTGAGGCAGGACATTATGACCTTGATGGTTGACCTTGAAAGACCCACGGGTATTCTGTGTCAGAAGATCGACAGAGACGCCTTGGACAAATCTCTGCTCTCGAATTCGCCATTCCGAATCTTCTTGCTAAAGTGGATGGCCTTCGTCTTCGTCGGTTATCCGTTGAACACCACGACTGCAGCAGACATCAGAAAATGCTTCTCTCATGATTGGCTTGCCGAAGTGATGTGGATTATAGCCTCCCAACCAAAAGATCCACATCTACGTGAGCGTTTGTATGACGATGTAAAGGATAGTTGCGCATTTCACGAGCACCAGAACGATTGGGAGAAGATTCTGTGTCGACGACATCAAGCCTTTGACACCCAGTTCTACACCAACTTTCTGCGCAATATATTCAATCTCGTATCCGATCTCGATAAAGAATACGGAAGTCCGGAAACAAAGAAAAAGAGAGAAAAGGCGAAAGCCGAGGAACAAATCAGGGTGAAGCTAGAAGAGGAAACACAGTCCTCGGGGTTTGAAAGCGCCGAGGAAACTTTGGGTGTAGAAGAGTGAACCGTAGATGTTCCTCTGACCAAGCACGGACTCAAGCTTTGGTTGGTAGCCTACCGTCGGCCCACACAATCCGCTCTACCACTCTGCAACACCCTTTCGCGGATATCTTCCGCGTTCTATCTGTTGGAAAATTGTAATCTATCTCGATACCCATCACTTCAAGATACATGGCGACATCCGCCCCTCCAGCCCGCCGTGGCGACTTCCTCTACTCATCCGTCCTCTACGCAGACCCTGGCAACGGAAACCACCACGGACGCGCGAGTGTCGCCGAACTCGCGGCTCTCATCCGCCCGGAAGCCCCCAATCTCTACAGCAAGGGTCGAAAGCCTGAAGTCGCGACACCAGCGAAAGACCAGGTGTGGCATTTCTACTCCGCCCAACTCATTCACTATGGACTACCGGTCACCAAGGACAAGAACGCGGCGAAAGTGCGACTCCTGAATGCTATGAACCAGTTCAAACTTGAGGTACCAGCATGGGTTTTGAAGGTCGAGAGCGAACTGAAGGCTGAATGGGAGGCGGAGAACCGGAAGTTGAAGAAGAATGGTGGTGCAGTGAGCAAGCAGGCGCCTAAGTCGAGCACTACTAGCAAGCCAGATCTTGGAAGCTCTCAGGGTGTAAATGGCGGTGTCAACGTCACTGGTACGCTTAAAGACTCCTGATATTTGACGCTGCTAATCCTATATCGAAGTCAACTTGGCCTTAGGAGGAGCGTCGCTGAGCCAGTATATGGACGCGCAGCAGGCGAGCAACAACACCCCAAGGAAGCCAGCGCCAACCAAACGCAAGCGCGCTGTTAGCAACGCCCCTAGCCCGGTAGCGACACCACAGAAAGTTGCGAGAGTCAAGAAAGAGCCAGCGCCAAAGAAAACACTCGTCAAGAAGGAACCGACCGCCAGGCGATCTGTTTCCAACATCAAGCAAGAGAGCCGCGTCTCCGCGCCACCATCGACACCCTCACGGTCGCGCATCAAGCAAGAGCAGTACCAGCCCAGCCCCGACCGAATGTACCCATCACCCCACATCAAGACCGACCCCTACCCGAACTACTACCAACCCTCGCCACCCCTCCTCCTCAGCGGTACCTACTCCATCTCCTGCGAAACCGCCAGCTCCACCTTCAACGACTACAACCTCGACCTCACACTCGCCCGCGATCCCTCCCGCGGTATCTGGTGGGCGACATTCCGCTGGGGCGCCTGGGACGGAATCATCCAGATGAACCCCGGCCCCGGCGACTCCGATAGTTTAGGCCAACCCTGTTCGCTTGGCTGGCGTCTTCGCGATCTGGAGACTGGACAGCTGACGTTTGGTCGCAAGTGTACGGGTTATATGACGTTCTCTGGTGATGGGTCGATGGAAGGGTGTTTGTATGAGGTGCCGGGTGCTGGATCGTTGGCGTTTGAGGGTATGAGGGATTCCGGTGACAGCTTGGAGGACGATCTTAAGGGGGAGTGGGATGGCTTTGTTGCGGAGGCGTATCAGCGTTGAGGTTTACGTGGACCTGGTAGAGGGGTTGGCGTAGCCGGCACTGTATAATTGGGCTATCCGCTGCCTGTTCAGCAAAAGAGGTTGCCGTGCGAGCAACAACACCATGATTGGCAGATACACCAATGCATTGCAGAGTAGTCTCACACGCGTAGAAGGCTTTGCTTCACCAGCATCAAGCCCATCAGAGCAGTCAAGTTCATTCAGAACATTTCGCAATTAGCTCGACAGCTACGTATAATACACTACAAGTTTCTACAAGAAAGGTCCAAAAGCCATCTCTTTCTGCTCTTCCAAACCACTCGCTCTGGTATAACAAAAACTAAACAGGCAGGACAAGCGCCGCCAAACGCCAAAGGCAAGACTACCGCGCGGCATGACCCTCATCCTTTCTCTTAAACATGAACAAGTAAGGCGTCAAGAAACATGACGCCGGGAACGCTGAAGCTATCTACTGAGACACAAAAGAAATCATATGCGTAGAGCATGTAATATCCGAAACGTCAATCGAGCTGACCCCCTAGCGTTGCCATGGACCACGGTCCTGCGGATGCCTTACACCGCTCGTCCAGTCCATGGGTCCTGTAGGTGGCCGAGGGTCGTGGATTGATCCTGGCCCTGAAGTGGGTTGTGGTGGCGGTGGACCCCTCATATCTTGTCTTCCTCGCATGATGCTGTCCCTGTAGTGCGCATCTCGTACATCTCGTTCGCGCATCTCACGTTCTCTTGAGTTTTGTTCAGCTTCTCTTCGCATATGCTCTTCTCGATTCATCGCTGCCTGGTGTTGAGCTTGAGCTTGGGCTTGCTCCTCGCGGATACGGTCCGTCATGCTGCGATCACGAGGATTGCGCATGAAGTGATGTTGTGGTTCCTCGGGAGGGCGCTGACCATAAAGAGAGTGGTTTGCTACTCCGAGAGACGAGTGCGGAGGATGCTGCAAAGGTGGAGGCTGGCCGTGCTCCGGCCTAGAAAGCGGAGTCTGTGAGCGTTGCGAGAGATATCCCCGATCTTGGGGTTGGTATCGCAGATCTTCATGCATTGGAGGACCTGGCGCACGTAGCGCGGGGTTGGAAAGCTGTTCACGTAGATAATCGGCCCTTTGAGACAACTCACGGCCGGTGTCGCGATCCGAGTGACGAGGATCAAAATCGTGGGCCTCACGAGGATCGCGAGGACGATAAGGCTCCGTCAGTCTACTCAACCCTTGAAAAGGGTGGGCTGGATGCTCGTTGGGCGTTTGTGGGTTCGAGTACGATAGGTTTGCGTTTGAGGCCTGCGAATGATCGTTGCGTCCGGATGAGTCCCTCTGCTGCTGTGCTATGTGGCTTGTCGACAGGTGCGGACTGGGCCGCATCCCCATAGGTCCAGGTGGCGGGACACCACTGCCCGGCGGATCAACTTGGGCGTATGGGTTCGGCTGCAGGATCTGTGATGATGCACTCAGTGCTTGCGCATGCTGTGCTGCAGTGGTGCTCGGAACACCATGTCGAGGCAACGACCCAGGTGGCCCACTCACGCTCGACGTGCGCGAATGCGGATTTGGAGAGTTGTTGAAGCCGGCAAGAGGTGGGGGTGTCGGGTTTTGACGTGGAGTGTTATGCTGGGAGAAGACAGAACGGTGATTGCTGAACATTCTATCGTTGACATTGGGCGGCTGAGGCAGGCCGGTCGGTGTTGAAGAAAGCGACGTGATCTGTGGAGTCTGAGACAACCCTCGGTGGAACGGCTGCTGGGCTTGCCAAGTATCGCGCAGACTTGGCCTACTTACTGACGGCTTGTCCTCAGTCAGGTCGATCGGCCTGTTTGATGTTGCGTTTGCAAGTGAAGACTGCTGAGCATACGATGCTGGACGGGTATACGGAGATTGAGCAGCCATAGAATCTTCGTAGAGCGGGCGTCTTGACGATGACGTGTAGCTTTGCGTCGTGGGAGGAGGAGGCGCGATTGGTGCTGATTGCAGAGGTGTAGAGGTATGCGATGGCGGACCTTGTTCGCTTGGCTTCTTACGTCTGGGCTCCTCAGGATCGGTGTCATTCAGTAAGGACATCAAGTTAGACTTGCGTGGTTCGACAGCCGGCTTTGTTACTGCAGGTGGAGGTGTGTTTTGCATAGGTGGTGGGCCGCGCTGAGGATGCTGTAATTGAGTGTGAAGCATCGCTTGGGGTTGAGCTGGGGGAAGGCTAACTGGAGGAGGATTTCTAGGTTCTTCTTTGACAGGCGGTGTAAGAATGGTCGACCGTGGCGGCAGCTGTTGCGCACTGTGGCTAGTACTATGACTCGGAGAATACACATCGGCCACCGTTTGGCTGAGCGATTGCGCTTGCGATGAGTGTCGAGAGTGCGAGAACGGCAACGGACGGTGTTCTGGTGATCTCAGCCCAGAGTTCGAACGTACTGGCGGCATGATCGGCGGTGCACCACCGGGAGCAAAAGGTCTATGCTGTGACATCTCCTGTGAGATGCGACGTGTGTGTTCATGAAACCGGCGCTGAGCCTCCTGCTCCTGCTGAACTTCAGGTCTACCCGCAACGTCTCGCTCCTGAAAGTGAAGTCCACGATAGAGAGGCGAGTGGTGTTGCTCTTGAACGCGAGGCTGTGGAGGCGCATGTTGTTGCAATGGCCGGTGTGCCTGTTGGTTGCCGGCAGGTTGTGAAGGTGGCCGGGACTCGAAACGTGGAGGTAGGTCTTCGGAAAAGTATCCAGCTCGTGGCCCTTGCGGCTGCGACTTATGCTGCGACATGGAGTGTTGGTGATGATGCTGCGGCGGTGCACGCTGAGGGGGAGCGGGCGGCGACTGCTGTGGTGGTATCGAGGGTACAGACGCCAGGCTAGTCTCTGGTAGGGCAGAATATCCGGGCGGAGGCACCATGGGCTTGCTCTGCACAGGTGCTTGGGCGATAGTGGAGAATCTCGAAGAAGGAGTTGAATGCGGAGGAGATAATTTTGGGTGCACAAGCGGGTTCGGAGGCAGAGACCCATGTTCAGGCGTAGGTGCGATGGGGCGGATAGGTCCCGCTTGTGTGCTCTCGTATCGTCTCTTGGGTGCTGGAGTCGGTGTTGGCGGTGGACCTAGATCATCACCTCGTTCCCTTCGAGCATCCGCCTCTTTTGCTGTCTGCTCCAAGTCTAGTTTGCCACTTTCGACAAGACGCAGATACTGGTTCTTGATCATAGTGTGCGTCTTGGTGCCCATATGGTTTGCAATTGCAATCCAGTCCGTGCCAAAGTGTGCAACATTCTTATCGAAGTCTTGTAACTCGGAGACGGACCAGTAGCTAGATGGGCCAGGTCTGGCACCAGCCTGTGTCTTCGGTCGATCCATAAGACTGCCAGGCAGGCCAGAAAGCTGCTGCAAATCTCCTGCCAGCATCATCTGATCCTCCATAGGGATAAGTGGCATGGGTATTGGCATATCATTCATGGGCCGCTTGCCAAGGTCGTCCTCCATCTTGACTCCCATGTTCTTGTCTTTACGATCGACCTTGACAGGTGAGCCTATAGGAACGGCCGCGAGTGGCGTATTCTTCGCCTTCCGGCCAACCTTGTCCTTCGCCGGTTTTCCACGCCGCATGGCCTTTTCTTGCGTGTCGTCGGCGTCAGTTTGCCTGCGTGCTCGGCCTGGTATGGGCATTCCTGTGATCGGGTCGAACTCAGTTTCGGTTGGGCCAAATTTGGGAGCCGCATGGCGTCGAGGCCGCCCAGTCTCAGTGACTGGTAAGGGCAAACCGTCCTCTCCTGGTCCTTCGGGTCGGTCCATGTTGGCGATAGCTCCACGACCACGACCAACGGCTCCACCACGCTTCCTGGGAGCCCGAGCTTTGCGGAGTTTACCCTTGTATTCTCTGCCCCATTTGGTAGCATAGTAATGATTGATACAATCCTTGTAGGTACGTTCGGTTCCAACTTCTTTGTAAAGAACTTCGGCCAGCTTACCCCACTTCTTTGCGTATTGATCCTTGTAGTTATGTACCATGACCCTGTGTTCCTCGGGGGTGAAGTCATCCTCTGGCGGCTCATAGTGAAACACGAAAATCCCTTGACCGGGTTCGCGTTGGAAGTTAGTGTCGATGAATCTTCTGCGCTGAGCCTCTGCCTCGGTAAGTTCCAATGGTAGATCGGCCTCCTTCTCCGGGTCAGCCATGGCTTTGCGTGGCTCTTTGTCTTTCTTCCCTAACTTTTCCTCTTCGGCAGTCTTCAAAGACTCTTTGATGACAGCTTCCAGATCAAGCTCAGTAGCCCATCGACTCGCGTGGCTCCTCCGGCCTGTAGGAGCGAGCGACCCATCCAGAATCCCTGTCATCGCAGCATTTTGTACATCGGGAGTGACAGCCTTCAGTGTTGGCTCGGCTGACGGCTGTCTATCCTGATCGTCTTGGTCACGCTCTTCGTCCAAGGGACGGATGGACACACGCCACGCTCTATATGCAGCTGCGTATCGTTCGAGAATCTGATCAGTGTTAAGCTCAGGCTCGATGCTCTTGCGTAATTTGCTTCGAATGGCGTTCATGATATCGTCAGATAGGTTTGGTCGGTCTTGCCCAATGTCCGATAGAGGCGTTGGCGGGCCTGAGCCTAGATAGGGCAACGAACTGAGGTCGGGTAAGGTTTCCCGCTCTGCAGAGGTCTCACGTCGTAGGCGAAGCGCCATCGTTGCGGGTGCAGCCGACCTCTCTTCAGTCTCCTCTTTGTCTTCCATCTCGACATCCTCGGACTCTTCCGCCTTAGGTGTCGGTAGATCTGCCGTGATACTCTCTGGAGCAGGTTGATTAGTGGTTGGTTCCACATGACGTGCTTGCACAGGTGAAAGATGTGACTCTTCCTGCTCCTGGGGAAAGGGTGTGCTTGTCTCTTCGACGGACACCACATCTGGCTGTGTTTGAGGAAGATGCTCGACATTGAGGCATGACAGCAGAACAATCTCCTGCAAGGGAGTTGTAGCGCGCAAGTGCGGAGCACTCAGATCGACCCGTTTGGCCTCTAGACGTGCTCGCTCTCGGTTGTAT